GGATGCTCAGAGAGGCTAAGTTATAAACAGATGAAAGGGCAAGAAACTTGTCTTTTTGTTCTGTCTTCAAACTATATGGTCAATTAATCTTGTATAATTCTTTCTTTCTATATAATACATCCTTTTGTTGTTTTGTCTCCTTGCTGTTTGCCTGTGGTAAAGAATGATCTCAGGGTGAGTGATATTCCAGGATAGTCCATTCTATGGAAAGGGGAATCTAAAATTGTTTTACAACCTAAGATGAAGCTAACTGGAGCTGGCACAGATTCCCTGCTGCAGCTGTGGGGTCCAAGATAAGGGCAGTGGAGCAGGAGTTACTCAGAACAAATCTTAATCTGTTCCTTGTGACAAACAACAAGACAATGGGGGAAAAACCTGAAGCTCTGGGGGTACTTGGCTGTTGGATGTTACAGGCCCTTCTGGCAGGGGAGTAGCAATCAGTGGAGGAGCTGTTGGATCAGGGCACCGGCATGACTTGTGCAACACCAGTGTTGGGAATGTTGCAGGTGGAAAATGTACAAAGCTCTACCTTAACATGGAGCATAGCAAAAGCTGCTATTGTCTGCACTTAGATCCCTTGAGCCATTATTTCTGACAGCACAGGATAATGGACCAGAGTCTACTCCACCTATTAGGTGCATAAGTGGACTTAGGTTTTAAGTGAAATTGTATTCCATCCTGTTCGGGTCCCTAAAAGACTGCTAGTGGAAAAATGGGGGTGGGTCCTCCTCTTCCTCACTGCTTTTTTTGCGATTCGGTCTAAAGGATAAGATAACAGTGTTTTACAAATGAGATGCACTTCTGGAATTTCAGACTTGAACAGGATGGAATAGATTCACGTGTAGTTGTCTAAGTCCATTTAGATGCCAATGGGTAGAATTAAATCTGTTCCAAAATCATGAGGCAACAGTGCTCATCCCCAGTGGAGTACACCTCTTTTGGGCAGAACCAGGGCATGTCCATAGGACCCAGTGTTGGCTCCCATATCCCATCATGTCTTCTCTTGATGTGGACTGAGGAAGAGGAAAAGTGAATGGCAGCAGCCTGCCAGCAGGTAAAAATCAGAAGCCACTGGATAAAAAGTACAACAACTACTTCTTTACACCAACATTGTGTAAGTCCACAGATTTTGAAACTTAGTTTAAGAAGGAAAAAAAGGAGAAATGAGGGGGGGAAA